TTGACTTTATAACGTTCCGGAAAATAATAAATTATAACGACTAATACCGTATTGTCGATCTTTTGAGTTTATAGGCATAGAGATTATAAATCTTAAGTACTTCATATATCTCCACAAGTGCTCAGTGAACCTTGCAATAATTGAGCTTGTGGACGTCCCCAAGCTCAATTAATCTGCTAAGTTACACGTCGGAACCAAGTCATGTTTGATTTAGTGTCATACGCCCTTCTTCCAGAATGTATGACATTTTTGTTTTTTTAATTGCATTACAGAAAATAAAGAACTTTATCACAATATTCTAATTTTCTGAGACAGTCCTGTATATCAGTTCTTCTAGACAATTTCAAAATGAATCTGTAGGTTTGCAACACATGCTACAGTATGCCCCCCCTTCAATCTAGGAATGCAAAGTAAAGCTGGACTTAAATAAATATAATATACATACAAATATTGAAATAGTTAAAAAATTCAAACAGCAATATTTCAATATGTTCTTAAGTTTGGGGGCCCCGAATGGACCGTTTTTTCTATTTCTATTACTGGTAATTAATTTAAAAGTAAAAATATAATTTGATTAAAATTTTTTTTTTACGGATTTAAGGAACACGATAAGGAAAACAATGTTTGTTAGCAGTACATGAAGAGAGAAACCAATCATTAAATAAAAATAAAAAGTCTTATTGTGCTCAAATAAATGTATGGAACAAGATCAAAGGGATTACATTAGTAATGTATATCAAATGGTGTTTCTACAAGTGGGATCACTTTAGAGAAATAATGAATCTGCCGCCAGGTGGATCACTCAGCAGCCATCAAGGAGTACAGCCGGTCGTCAGCGGACCAGGAGGAGCCCCTCCCCCACGAGCTGCGGCCCCTGCCCGTGCTCAGCATGACCATGGACTACCTGGTGTTTCTGATCATGGACCAGGGCCACGACAACTACCGGGACTGGTACGACTTCCTCTGGAACAGGACGCGCGGCATCAGGAAGGTAAGAGGGTTCTGTCTCACAAACATGACGGTTGTCTTCAAGTAAATCAATTTCATGCGTTTGTATTGTATAGCAGATATAGGCTTTCGGAAAAAGCCTAGAGGGACTAAACACGAGAGAGACACTGTGACACAGGAGAATAATTGCGTTGCATTGTGTGTGAACATTTATTATTGTATGTTTACGGAATGAAGAAGCAAAAAAAAAGACAAAATAAGGGCTGCATTTTAACAAAAGGAACCTGTCCAAACACCTGTTAACAAACGTGTGCAATACTCCTGCAGTATAATCTTAAATTCTACGTTTCAATAGCTCAAGATGCATTTCTGGATGTCTGATTGGTGCACACACGTAACAGATATTGACTAGTCATAGCAGCAAACACATTGTTAAACACACTTTCTGGCTCCAGTTGTATCTTTGCAGAGAGTAGAACATGTTTTGGAGCCCGATGTGATTCCTCCCCCCCGCTCCCCCCACAGGACATCATCCAGCAGCACCTGTGCTGCCCTCACACGGTGTCTCTGATTGAGAAGTGCACACGCTTCCACGTGCACTGTGCCCACCACCTCTGTGAGGAGCACATGTCTACTTTTGATGCCAAAATCAACAACGAGAACATGACAAAGTGCCTGCAGAGTCTCAAAGAGATGTACCAGGACCTGAACACACGCAACATCTACTGCCCCCTGGAGGCCGAGTTCCGTCTGTACAGCGTGTTGGTGAAGCTCAACGACGGGGACATCCTACGGTCAGTCCAGCAAAAACACTGATACACAAACCGTTACTGATGGTGGTGAAATGTCACTTGATTTATTTGCAAAGCCCCTGTTTGTGTTTCTGCCTTTCTCCAGAAATCAGTACATTGGAATGACATCTTTAGATGTTGCTTCCAATCTTCCAAGAAGTGAGCTGGGAATAGAAGTACACTTTCCGTAGTGGCCAAAAAAAGCTATTTCCCGTTGACTTATTTTGGGAAAGAGACATCTGTAAACATGGGCGGCACCAGGATTTTTTTGCTGCAGTAGCTTAGCAGTTGCTATATGACAGCACGGCGTTGCTAGTTAATTTTCCAAATAAATAAACAAACAATACCAGTGGGCCAAGCACGAGCCTGTTCATATTGTAGCGTTCACCGCTATTCAAGATCACAGATCACGAGCCTTCAATGTCGAACGGCCACAGCCACGCCTTACAGAACCAATCAATAGTATAACACTCATTATGACTTTTCCCCACACTCGAAGACAACTCCTACCGTCTCGTACTCCCTCCACACACACCAGAAAACACACACACACACACACACACACACACACACACAC